TGATTCTGGTTCTATGCTAGGTAAAAGATGGATAAAAGCAAAGAAAAGTTGTTTATATTGCATGAAAGAAATATCTAAAAATAGTAATGCAAGAGTGAGTGTAATCATTTTTAACTATCAAGCTAGAATTATTGTTGACTGTGAAATAGTTGATATAGATTAATGCGAATAAAAGATTGATTATGATAGTGGAGAAACTAATTTTTGTGATGCCTTTTAAAAGGCATATGATTTGATAATCAAACATTAAAATTATGCATTCGAAAAGTAACACTTATTTATTTCAATAGAACTGAAATATTATTTTATACTGATGGAGCAGGAGAGTATCCAAAATAAGAAATTTAATAATTTACTATGCTTCCAGAGTAATAGAGAGCAAGAATATTTCTTAATTGCTGTACTGAAGATAAGAATCCTATTACTTTATAAATGATTGTTAATGAATTTAATAGTAGTCTTATTAAATCTGAGTTAAAAAGTAACTTTTTAGTAGCAGATCTAGAAAAAGCTTGGACTGAAATAGTCAGTAGAGATTATCATAAACTTAAAAGTTGATTAGTATAATTCATTAATCTTTATTCATATTAAGAATTATAATTAAAATCAAAATCAATTAATAAGTTGTGAGGATGTGAATTTTTTGAACGATTTATAATAATACAAATTTCTCTGAAATAATTTTGAGATTGGAGGTCTAAATCTAAAAACTATCATTAATCTTTTTGTGAATATTTATAGTATTAAATAAAACTCCTCTTTTGCAGAGAAATAAGAAGGAATCAATATATGAGTTTCTTTAGGTCAGAAATAAAGTACAATTAGCTACAATATTGGATACTAATGGAATATGAGTAAATATTGATACTAATAATATCTCATTGGGACTTAGAAAAATAAAATGAAGAATTTGAGAAATAGAATATAAAAAATAAAATAATTGAATCACTAAAATTGAAAAATTATTTATTTGAAGGAAATTCTATTTGTAAATAAATAGATATGATTTATTACTAATGAATAAAATTAAGAGATTGATTTATTTAAAACCAATATATTGGGGCAACTTGAAATTATAAAAACAAAGAACGAGATTGATACAATTGAAATAGAGTCAAAATTTAAATAAATTTGTGATGAAGCTTGCAATTTTATTGAATAATCGATAAAGAATTAAGAATAAGATATAGTTTAATAAATTTATGAACTATATCTAACTATTATAGGCAATGCTCATTTAATAGTGATGGAATTTACATAATAACATTCTAAGACATTTGAAGAATTATTTGAATAATATGGAAATTGTGAAAAGACATATAATTGAAGATAAAATTAATGAACAGCGTAAATGAAGTAATTCAAAAAGTTTAAACTGACCATGATAAATAATGCTATAATTGCGGTTTGATTTGGGATAATTTAAATCATTGCCCCTATGTTAGAAGCTATGTTGATAAAAATAAATAAACTCAATTAAGAAGATTTTAGTTTATATTTGTAGTTACAAAAGTTTAAAGAACAAAACTTGAAAATGTTTATTAGGAGACCAATCTAAAATTTTATTTGAAAGTTTTGGTGTGTCTTTAAATTGGGATACACTTCCGATATTGTCATAAAATTAATAGGAATAATTAGAATAAGAATTATTAATTAATCTCTTATTGAATAATAAAAATAATTAAAACAAGAATTATTTAATGATCTTATAACGGATAAACATGTTAGACAATAGAAGTTCTCTAATAAGTTCCTAATAATATTTCTAATAGGTTTCCTAATAAATTCTCAAAAAAATGACTAATAAATTATAAACAAATTATCGAATAAAATATCATACAAATTATAGAATAAAATAAGGAATAAGTCACCAATCAAATATAAAATAATAAAATCTATAGCAAGAAGTCAAATAAAATTAATCAAATGTATTAATTTTAAACAATCACCATTATTAGAATATGGAGATTTACTTTTCTTATGTATAAAAGTAAAAGTAAAAGAACATTTTTCTTATTCTCTAAGACAAGGTTAGTTATTATCCGTAATAGAATTATATAATCATGATAATAATAAGGGATGTTTAGCTTAGATATATACTGGAGAAGGGAAAACGTTAATAGTAGCGATGTTGACTGTATTATTATGTAAAAAGAAAAGACAAATGTTGAAATTGTAATAGTTCTCCAGTGTTGTCAATAATAGATGCTCAAAAATTAAGTCCTTTTTATAAATTATTTTAATTATCTGTCTCTCATAATATACATGAGAAAAAGCTTCCATGTTATGATTGTCAAATTATATATGGAGATACACATAGTTTCTAAGCTGATATTAAGACATGAATATTCAAAATTAGGAACGATGGGTAAGAGATGATAAGGATATGTTATTCTTGATAAAGTTGATTCCATGTTTATTGATGGTAATAATAATAAGACAATTCTAATTACTCCTATTCCAGGAATGCTTGATTTAAACATTATTCTTGGATTGATATGGGATTAAATTTGTAAAGTAGAACCAAACCTTTTAACTAATAAAAAAGTTTGGATCCGATCCAGATGGTATGATGAAAAAAAACTCAATAATTAGTTAAGATGCTTTAATAAATTTTATCCCTTAGTTTCTTTTAAATTATATCAACAAGGTGTAAATTACAAAATTGATAATGATAATATTAGAATAGGTGATTATCAAAATACAGGAGTTGTACATAAGGAAAATAAGCAATTGGAAAAAGGTTTTCATCAATTTCTTTAAATCAAACATAAGGTTCCCGTAACTCCATTGAGAATCAGCACTAATTATTTATCCAAAATTAGTTACTTTAAAAGATATAGAAGTTAACATTTAGGCCTTACAGATACTTTGGGTTCAAAAATTACCTTACAATTATTAGATAAATAGTATAATATAATAAAGAATTGTATGAAATAAAAGGCAAAATTATCAAGAAGGATTAAATTCTTAGATTAAAGAGTAATAGTTATTGTAAAGTAAATAGAAAGATGATTAATTTTAGATAATATAAAATTTCCTAATGTTTAAATTGCAGATTTCTAGATTGATTAATAAGACGACCTTGTATTATCAAATAAATAATTTAAGACTAAGCAAAAAGTAGATTAGTTCCAAAATAATTATGAAAACTTATTTAGAAGACTAAGAAATCCAAAAATGAATTATCAACCTTGATCTTTATTTTGAAGAATATGCAATATGTTAGAAGTTCCATCTTATTGTAACTTAAAGCTTCCAAAAAATAAATTTTTATTGTTCAATATTAATGTAAGATTTTTATTCGCTTTTTTAGAGAGTTTTTTTTAAAATGATTTAGAAAATCCTTAAGGATTTTAACGATATAATGATAATAAAAAGTATAACGTGCCATTTAAAATTTTCATTCTTATATAAATGTAGATTAATTTATTGAAAATTTCATAATATATCAAAGTATTAATAATTAAATCTTTAGATAAATAAATAATGACTAAAAATTAAAGAAACAGTTCCATTTTAATTACATTACTTTTTACATCTTTATCATTCTAAAACAGTATTCTTTAACTAATTTGAAAAAATCATCCATTACAATTATGCGATAATTTTTCAAATTAAAGAGATACTTTCATGAAATTAATGAGAATAGAGAATCGAACAATCCTTTTAATATTTTGGTAATTCAACACGTCCCAGGCCTTTTGATTGCAAAACTTACAGTTTAGCTGAAGATTTAATATGCATTAAAATAGATATAATTGTAGATCTGAGGTTAACAATAATTGGTAAATTCAACAAAGTTGCTATGTATTTCTAAGTGATGCTTACCACTCGTTTAGTAAAGGATGAGGGATACTGTTCTGAATTAGTTACAGTTTATATAATCAAATCACAAGATAATCCCATGAATTCAATGAAAGTTATAGCAGTAGATAAATCCATGCCAGGATTTCTAAGAGTAGAAAGGATATAAAAATTTGCAGTAGAGAAAATGCTAAATAAAAGTAGATGTGTTTAACAGAATCATTAGTATTATCATCTATTTTGTTTAATATTACTAAATTTTCTCAACTATCCAATTTCAAGTTTAATTAAATTGAAAGGGTTCTTTTTTTTTTTTAAATTAGTGAGCTATTTTTTATAATAAGTAATATTATCGATATTGATTAATTAAAAATTTTGAATATTTATTTTAATAGAAATACAATTATTTAGAATGAAATAGGATGGAGAATTTCCTTTTAAAAAAATGGATTTCTTGTCAAGTGGGGCAGAAGGTTAAGTTTATTCAATTAAAAATAAATAATCAGGTGAGATTTTAGCAGCCAAATATCTTAATTAAAATTTAGGAGAATCAGAACAAAAATTATTGGAAAAAATTAAATCTAGCAAATTTAATCACATCATTAAAATAATAGATCTTACTAAAAAAAATGGCTAAGATATTATAATAATGGAGTATGGAGAATAGTCTTTAAAAAAATTAATGGAAAGTGAAAATTATTAATAATAATCTAAAGAATATAAAAATGAGTTATTTTTATAAGTAAGTTGGAAATAATATTAATTAGATACTTTTGGGAGTTGAAGAGTTTCATAGCTTAAATTATATCCATAGAGATTTAAAACCAGATAATTTTATCTGTTGTTCTGGAAATTAATCAATATAAATAAAATTGATTGATTTTGGGCTGGCAAAAGAATATAAATAGAGTAAACACACTTAAGGAGTTGGAACTGATTATTTTATGGCACCAGAAGTTAAAAATGGAATTTACTATGACTAATCAGCAGATCTTTGGTCTCTTGGTGTCATATGGTATTTAATGTTATGTGGATATTTAGACATTTTTAGTACTTTATTTCATTATATATTCATAGAACTAACTGAATTAACTTAAATTTAATTGAACCATAATATTAATAAAAATCAAAACATAGATTCTATACAAAAATAAATTATATCCAAAATATTACTCATTCAGCCTTAAAAAAGAATTAAACTTAATGAATTACTTTCAGAAATTACAGTTTTATGTTCAAAAGAGAATAAATTATAATAATAAAAGGAATAAATACAAATTGTTTAAAAATGTGTTCCAGATTAAAAGGAAAGTAATATGAATACAATAAAGGTTGGAGATGAAAAATAAGTAAATTAAAAAGAATAGATTATAAAGTTTGAAACAATATATTAGGAAGGTATTATTTAATATAAAAATATTAGGAATAAACTTATGTAATGAAGGATAGTATGAATAAGCTTTGGTTGAATTCAATACATCAATAAGTTTGATTAATGATAATTCAGTTATGTATCTGATTTTAATTATAATTAAAATACATAGTTTAAATAAAGATGGAGAAGCTATTGAGTTTTTTGAGAAAGCAGTAAAAATAAATCCTACCAATGCCGAAATTCATTATACTATGGGTAAAATGAAAATTTATAAACTAAGGGTTGTCGTTACAAAGTTTAAATAAACATGGAGAAGCTATTGAGTTTTTTGAGAAAGCAGTAAAAATAAATCCTACCAATGCCGAAATTCATTATAATATGGGTAAAACTTAAATTTAAAATTAAGGGTTGTCGTTACATATTTTAAAGAAATATGGAGAAGCTACTGAGTGTTTTTAGAAGGCAGTGTAAATAAATCCTACCAATGCCGAAATTCATTATAATATGGGTAAAATGAAAATTTATAACTTAAGGGTTGTCGTTACAAAGTTTAAATAAACATGGAGAAGCTATTAAGTTTTTTAAGAAAGCAGTGAAAATAAATCCTACCAATGCCGAAATTCATTATAATATGGGTAAAATGAAAATTTATATATTAAGGGTTGTCGTTACAAAGTTTAAATAAACATGGAGAAGCTATTGAGTTTTTTGAGAAAGCAGTGAAAATAAATCCTACCAATGCCGAAATTCATTATAATATGGGTAAAATGAAAATTTATAACTTAAGGGTTGTTGTTACATAATTTAAAGAAATATGAAGTTGCTATTGAATGTTTTAATAAAGCAATTTAAATCAACCCCAAAAATGCTTAATTTCATAAAAATAAGGGTAAAATTTATCTGTTATTAATAACATTAGGAATTACCTTAAATGAAATATAGAGAAAAAAAGGAGCAAACAATTTTTAAAACAAAGCAAATAAGATTAAACTAAAAATACCTCATTTTATAATAACATCAATATTAGTGGTTTTTATTTTTTTTGTGGTTATTTACACTTTTTCTGGTAAAAATTATCAGTCATATTATTAGACAACGCAAAAAAAAATGAATATGCAATTTAATTTTATAACATAGCCTTGCGTATATACCCTAATTATTTCTAAGCCTAAATGAATAAAGGTAAAACATTTATTTTATATCCAAACATTAGGGCTTTCCTTACACAGTTTAGGTAAATATGATGAAGCTATTGAGTGTTTTGACAAAGCATTACACAAATATCCCGACAATGCTGAAAGTAATTTTATTATGGGTAAAACTAATATGCATAATTTAAGGGATGTCGTTACAAAGTTTATAGAAATTTGGAGAAGCTATTGAGTTTTTTGAAAAAGCAGTAAAAATAAATGATGACAATGCTGAATATCATTATAATATGGGTAAAACTTAAATTTATAACTTAAGGGTTATCGTTACATAGTTTAAAGAAATATGATGAAGCTATTGAGTGTTTTAAGAAGGCAGTGTAAAGAAATCCTAACAATGCAGAAATTCTTAATAATTTGGGTAAAACTAAAATTTATAACTTAAGGGTTATCGTTAAAAAGTTTATAGAAATTTGGAGAAGCTATTGAGTTTTTTGAAAAAGCAGTAAAAATAAATGATGACAATGCTGAATATCATTATAATATGGGTAAAACTTAAATTTATAACTTAAGGGTTATCGTTAAAAAGTTTAAATAAATTTGGAGAAGCTATTTGGTTTTTTGAAAAAGCAGTAAAAATTAATGATGACAATGCTGAAATTCTTAATAATTTGGGTAAAACTAAAATCTATAACTTAAGGGTTATCGTTACAAAGTTTAAATAAACATGGAAAAGCTATTGAGTTTTTTGAGAAAGCAGTAAAAATTAATGATAACAATGCTGAATATCATTATAATATGGGTAAAACTTAAATTTATTACTTAAAGGGTTGTCGTTAAAAAGTTTAAATAAATTTGGAGAAGCTATTTGGTTTTTTGAAAAAGCAGTAAAAATTAATGATGACAATGCTGAATATCATTATAATATGGGTAAAACTTAAAATTATAACTTAAGGGTTATCGTTACAAAGTTTAAATAAACATGGAAAAGCTATTGAGTTTTTTGAGAAAGCAGTAAAAATAAATCCTGACAATGCTGAATATCATTATAATATGGGTAAAACTTAAATTTATTACTTAAGGTTTGTCGTTACAAAGTTTAAATAAATTTGGAGAAGCTATTGAGTATTTTAAGAAAGCAGTGAAAATAAATCCTACCAATGCCGAAATTCATTATAATATGGGTAAAACTTAAATTTATTACTTAAAGGGTTGTCGTTACAAAGTTTAAAGAAATATGGAGAAGCTACTGAATGTTTTTAGAAGGCAGTGTAAATAAATCCTACCAATGCCAAAATTCATTATAATATGGGTAAAATTAAAATTTATAACTTAAGGGTTATCGTTACAAAGTTTAAATAAACATGGAAAAGCTATTGAGTTTTTTGAGAAAGCAGTAAAAATAAATCCTGACAATGCTGAATATCATTATAATATGGGTAAAACTTAAATTTATTACTTAAAGGGTTGTCGTTACAAAGTTTAAATAAACATGGAAAAGCTATTGAGTTTTTTGAAAAAGCAGTAAAAATAAATCCTGACAATGCTGAAATTCATTATAATATGGGTAAAATGAAAATTTATAACTTAAGGTTTGTCGTTACAAAGTTTAAATAAATTTGGATAAGCTATTAGGTTTTTTGAGAAAGCAGTAAAAATAAATCCTGACAATGCTGAATATTACTATAATATGGGTAAAACTAAAATTTATTACTCAAAGGGTTCTCGTTACAAAGTTTAAATAACCATGGAAAAGCTATTGAGTTTTTTTAGAAAGCAGTAAAAATAAATCCTGACAATGCTGAAATTCATTATAATATGGGTAATATTAAAATTTATAACTTAAGGGTTATCATTACATATTTTAAAGAAATATGGAGAAGCTACTGAATGTTTTTAGAAGGCATTGTAAATAAATCCTACCAATGCCAAAATTCATTATAATATGGGTAAAATTAAAATTTATAACTTAAGGGTTATCGTTACAAAGTTTAAATAAACATGGAAAAGCTATTGAGTTTTTTGAGAAAGCAGTAAAAATAAATCCTGACAATGCTGAAATTCATTATAATATGGGTAATATTAAAATTTATAACTTAAGGGTTATCGTTACATATTTTAAAGAAATATGGAGAAGCTACTGAATGTTTTTAGAAGGCAGTGTAAATAAATCCTACCAATGCCAAAATTCATTATAATATGGGTAAAATTAAAATTTATAACTTAAGGGTTATCGTTACATATTTTAAAGAAATATGGAGAAGCTACTGAGTGTTTTTAGAAGGCAGTGTAAATAAATCCTACCAATGCCGAAATTTATTATAATATGGGTAAAATGAAAATTTATAACTTAAGGTTTGTCGTTACAAAGTTTAAATAAATTTGGAGAAGCTATTGAGTATTTTAAGAAAGCAGTGAAAATAAATCCTACCAATGCCGAAATTCATTATAATATGGGTAAAATGAAAATTTATAACTTAAGGTTTGTCGTTACAAAGTTTAAATAAATTTGGAGAAGCTATTCAGTTTTTTGAAAAAGCAGTAAAAATAAATCCTGACAATGCTGAATATCATTATAATATGGGTAAAACTTAAATTTATAACTTAAGGGTTATCGTTACAAAGTTTAAATAAACATGGAGAAGCTATTGAGTTTTTTAAGAAAGCAGTAAAAATACATCCTAACAATGCCGTATATCATTATTAAATGGGTACAATTAAAATTTTTAACTTAAGGGTTATCATTACATATTCTAAAGAAATATGGAGAAGCTACTGAGTGTTTTTAGAAGACAGTTTAAATAAATCCTAACAATGCTGAAATTCTTAATAATATGGGTAGAATTATTATTTATTCATATCATTAGGGAATTCCTTATATTGTTTAAAAAGATTTGAAGAGGCTATTGAAAGGTATAATTAAGCATTAAAAATAAACCCCAATTTTACAAAAGCTATTGATAATAAAAAAACAGCTGAAAGTTACTCGGCATTTGTTTGGATTTATTTTAGATGTTGATTTGATTAGACTTATTATATCTAATAAAATTAGATTTTTTTGTTTTTATTTTCTCCATTCTTATTTCTCTTATTATTATTATTTTGTTCTTATATTGATTTGGGTTTGCCCACTAGTAGGTTTAATTCAGCAGTCACATTATGTTGAAGGGTTTGGGGTTGGG